CGGCTGCAATATTTCTAACATTACATCACATATATGACATCACATTCTGTATACAGATATCAATCTCTATGCGACTCTTTCTGTACTAATCAGTACTGTATCTCTCATTTCTCTTCACTAAACGATAGACCCATGGCTCCTTCCCGCTGTACAGCTTCCATAGATCAGGGTAGTGGTCGGTGCCGTTCCAATATATCATCTGGCTGGGGGTGGATTGAGAAGAAAAACGACTGTGTACGGTTATCGGGGTTGTTTTGGAAATGACAATAATTTCAAAACGAAAAATGCGTATGTCGATACGTGTGCGGTAACCCCATTATCAGGTTCGTACTCGAAGCTGATTGGGACAAAAACGTAAATATTAATGGAACAAATCATTACTTTGACTTTTGATTTTCATTTTTCAAATGTTCCAAAAATTTCACTCATATACTAGTACATGCCGCCAATTTTACTCATATGTAAAAATTGGCGTTTTTAAAAAAAAAATAACTTTTCTCCCTATGGAATGTACATTGCATTAGACTGAGACCAATTACACCCAAATACCTCACGAAGTAGACCGAGGGGATAAAAACAAGTGGCATAAAGTGTATAAATACAGTTTTATTGAATTTTTAGCTCCCGATTATACAGAGTCCGGGGTCTTCTGGGTTGGATCAGAAATTCATTGACCGGTTAATCAAGAATTGACACTATACTTGATACATGATGGTGTACATACTTGTATGCTCCAGATACAAAATGGCCGACTGGTAGCCATATTTTACCCAAAACTAGCCAAAAGACCGATATTTTATAAGTAAGTTGTATCTTTATTGCAATCGAATCTATTTTGGGATATTGATGTGAAGGAACATTAAAGTTTATATAATAGAACATATTTTATATGTGTAGGGCATTACTCTAATTTGATTGTGCTGTGCTGGCTGGTTCAAACTTACAATACAACATCTATTATTTTTCCATTTTTTTTTCGAAAATGGCCGACTGACGGCCATTTTGCTCATCAAAAATACTTTTTTTTGTTCTTTTCGCTTATAAATTGAGAACACAATTACTAACTATTAACTTTATTCAGATTTGGTAAAAAAACAGTATATTATTTAACGAAGATGAAAGTTGATTTTTGTCATAATACTATGCAATATGGCAGCAATTTTTGTCTTTTTTGTGTGCACATTTCTGCTTATATTTCAAATTCACACTGTCCTATTATGTCCTGGTTCACAGAAGATTGCGTTTTAGCAGATCAAGGAAAGTTAATTATGTCACAATCCAATCCAAGAAGGTTGACTGGCAGGTACTCCGCAGCCATATAAACCATATCGTAATTCCAAATCATAATGTATTGCAGAATAGTTATAACTGAATCAGTACAACTCAGCCAATCATAAAGCGTTTCTACTCCAGTAATCTGACACAAATATCCCATAATGCACTATAAATTTTTAATTGCAATATATATGTTTTACATTTTGCAGACATGTGGGACTCGCGCATGTTAAATAGACTATTATTCCTCCACTGCGAGATCTGCAGTATGCGGGAAAATCGAACATAAAAACAGGACAAACAAAGGTGACATCGCGTGGCATTTGACATACGCGTAAGTATTTCAGGGTTATTTCTATATACACATTTGATGAGGTAGGGGTATCTTAATGCAGTGTTCCTCCATCAAAGATCGGAATTTTGATATTGATCTAAAAAAGTTCAAAATCAAATCGTTTGATTTACGTTTTTATGTGTATGCATATCGGCCGCACAGAGAAACTTGTTGTTATAAATATTACATGAAATAAATAAATGGCAATATGAATATAAATAAATAATCATATATAATACAATAAATAATTATTTATTTATTTCAACACGAGGCTTTCAAAATGGATTGAGATTAAACAGATAGTGGCAAATTACGTGCGCACACAGATGTACAAAACATCGAAAGTGAAAGCCTATTGAACGGATGCATTACACAGAAATGTAAGATTTCAAACTGGTTAAGCAAGAATGTCATGCACACTGCGTATTGTATAGTTGTGGTCCTGCAAAACTAATATCTATTTTATAATTGTGAAATAGGACTAACTTTTTTCTAAATATTTATTGTATTGGCAGAGTCAATAAAAGAAATACAAGACCCTACCACTATTCCGATAGCTCCCTTGCAAAGGTCAAAACAGCAAAATATTTCCTCGAAAGGATCTTTTCAAGACCTACAAAGGGGGCCGGGACGCAAGGGGAATCGACGTCACTGGAAGAAAATACAAGAAGAAGCCTGAGGCCAACACTAAAGATTAAAAATATATGATGCCTATATTCAATAACAAGTTCTCTCCCATAATGCATTGTTCGGTGAAATGAGATGAAAAAAGTCACATGTTATTTATTGACAGTGATCATAATATTGCTTAAACATTTCAGAAAATTGAGCTATAATTTAGTTTCCAGTATAATAAAAGTTTTACATTATATACAATGATTTGTTTGTTTGTTCGTCTTATATTGCATTGCATACTCAGTAACATTCTCAGAAGTGCAGAATTAAGGACGATGCGTTCGAAATGCGTGTGTTCCACCTACACCATGTATACCTTATTATGGGTCCCTTACGCGAAGTCTATTGTTCGTTTGTTGTTATGCCCCCATTTGTACTTGATTTTGGATTTGATCAGAGAGAAAGTATCAAACAATCTGAGAAAGCATTCAAAAACAACACACACGCCAAAAGACACAAAAAACAATGTGGACAAGTTTGAGTGTTTTTCTTCAATCTTGACAACAAATCCTATGGTATAATTTGCAAAAAAAAAAAAAAAGAATTCATTGTTGTTGGCAGAAACATAAATTCCCACACTATCAGCAAACTAGTAGTCGACAATTTCAGCGAGACTGGCACGAGAGGGCGCCGTCCGATCTTCCCTTCTACAAATAGATGACATAAGAATCCCCACCGAAACGTTACATAGGCCCTAAAATTGTGTCTAATGCAAAACAATTCAGACAACAGAAAGCCAGTTTGACCCCAATAGTTATTTTAGTCATCTTCGGTAAAAAAATGTTAAAATTGCGAGCCACGTGGTAAGCGTTCAGAGTTACGTCGCGGCACACATTTTGGCCCTTTTCTCTAGAAATGACACTGTTCGACATCAAAATCAGACTAAACATGCACATATCTAAAGGCTAAATTGATTAGAATACACCTCTGTTTGCGGAATTCATGTGAAAGCGCTTTTTTGGCCAAAAATGATACTTTTTGACCCCCAAAAGTCAGTATGTGATATAAGATCCAAATTACAGAAATGTCCATGATTAGAAAACTAAATAATTTATGAAGGTAAAGAATGTAAAATAAATAATGATTTAGTCAATTATTTTTTCGTTAGAAATTTAAATGTTGGTGTTGATTGCAATTATATATTTCCACAAGAGTGTTTAACTCGTCAGGTCGCTGTGGTGTTTGTTTAACTGATCATAACTCTAACAGTGGATTGCACCTTGCCCCTCTCCTTCAGTGTCTGAGTCATATTTAAATTTAACGTGCCTGGAATTCAACGCAGAGGGCGTACATTTTTTCTATTGTTTAAATAGTTTCGTCCTCGATCAAAAAAGCTGCTGTACACAATACGTCACAGTTTTTGCGTGACCTCAGATGTGAGTATGAGACGTTGATCGTTTTAGGTAAAGTGAGCGAATTTATGCGACAAATACCGACCTCAAGTGACAACCAAGTGGCTTAATATCCTTCAGAACCCAACGTGACCTTGATTTAAGACACGTAACAGGTAAGATTTTATAAAAAGGAATGCGTGAACGTTGACCTACTGAATGAACGTAGTCATAATGTCAACAACATGTATAGGCGAGCGACGCCATGAAATAGACATAACATCAGGTTGGTTTCGTTGTTCATACGTGGCTTTATAGTGGTGTTACGTGATTTATACAGTCCCACTTTTGCGATGAGGCGCACAGTGCGGTGCACAGTCTCCGCTATTTCGAATATAGACTCGTACGAGGATGAAAAAAACCCTTTTTGTGTCTCAGAAAATGTTTTATTTTCGGGGGTATTCATTTTGTCACCATATGTATCGAGTATTGCTGCATGAATATGTGCAAAACGATAGAAAATCTCATTTTTTATCAGGAAATGTCCACTTTTACAAGTGGACGCGGAAGCTATTTCACGTGAGAAAGAGTTCTATTGCAGATTATTAGGAGATACTGAATTATTCGTGTTAATGACATCGAGTTACGAAAATGACTCGAAGTTCAGTTAACCGTTAATTAAAGTTCTAGTTACTAAATTCGAACTTTAAACAGAATAAAACAAAATATATGTTTCCCATAACTCGAAGTTTGATCAAAAGTTTGAGTTACCAAATGTGGACGTTCAACAAAAACAATAATGTATGTTGCACGTAACTCAAAGCTGTGTTAACTATTAATTGAACATGGAGTTATAATTTAGTTGGGGTCTCGCAAAAGTGGGCTGACACTGACGTCATAGAATGTTTTTTTTTATTTACACTGAACACAGTTTATTCTTATATGAAGAGAAGTGAAAATTATATACGCTTAAAAACACGATTCCTAAGGTCTGTGATATTTCCAAATTATTGCCGTATTGTATGGTAATACGTGGAATATAACGTAAGGATCATAGCGGTTTCTTTGATATCTCCTCTGTTCTTGAATTCTAACGTGATTTGTCGAACATAAGAATTTTCTGGTCTCCATGTATGGTTAATCAATGGTAATATACGCGGCATATGTCTGTCTAACGCCTAAAGAAATTTACCCCACTGGTCTCCAAGTATGGCTAATCCGTGGTAATATACGCGGCATATGTCTGTCTAACGCCTAAAGAAATTTACCACACTGGTCTCCAAGTATGGCTAATCCGTGGTAATATACACGGCATATGGTTGTCTAACGCCTAAAGAAATTTACCACAGTAATAATATAAAGCAGGAAATGTATGGCATAATATATGATAGGGTAAATGTGAAGCCACATTACAATTATAAACTCGATATTATTGACAGCTATATAATGGAGGTATTTTGTGGTGATTTATGAACAACCTTTGGTATAAAATGGTTATTTCATTATAGGACAGTGTTCATAGGTATACCGGGATTTATTGCATAGCGTATTCTTTTCGTTGACTATACTAGGGCGTTTCACACTATCAATAATACAAAATGCATGTAAACAGCTGTTCATTAGGTGGTCAACCATCAATAACTGTTTCTAATCATCTTTCAGAACCTAACAACTTAAAAAAGGAAAACAAAAATGAGTCGAACTACAGTGTGCTTGTTATTGTTATTCCTTGTGGACATTTCCGCCCAAGGTGAGTTTCTTCAGAAGTATCTGCAACATAGATAAATCCGGTCATTGTCTTCAATGACCCAACACCATATTAAAAAAATACGAATACCATTTTGTGACCATGAAAAACTATTCTAGAAAATCTCACTCTCACTTTATATACATTTCAATACACTAAGTACTATTAAGAAATTCTACTTTATTCTGGACCCTCTACAAACTATAACTTTGTGTTGGTTCATAGATATCTCAAATGTTCAATCTGAAAGATTCACTCATGTAAGCTATATACTTTGTTGTTGATACCCATACCTCTTTCCCAAGAAGGTAATTAAATAAACATTTCGTAATTAAATAAGTCGCTCCCCGGCGACGAAGTGCTTCGTGTTTGGGACGTTCGCCGGTTTGGTCCTTGCGAACAAGAAGTAAGACGCAGGTAACTTGTAATAGCTATATCGTTTAACTGGGCCGAGATTCCGGATAAAAAACACGTGACTAAGTGACGTTAATTAAAAAAAACATTATAAGTTATATTATACGTAAACTAGTTTTGTATAAAGTGATAACATAAATACAACAATTAAGGAGAACGTGATGGACTGATCAGATCTATATTGAATGACATTGCCCCTTGACTACTTTAGTAGTATTCGAGCAATAAATAGAACATCATAAACAAATTAAAGACAATCCCTATATTTTTTCCATTGTGTTTTTATTCAAATATACTACATATTGTCTTTATAATGTATACATTTTTGTAAAGATACAGACTTTCATAACTGCAATGACCCAATCGAACCTGGTCGATGCCGTGCGTATATCCCAAGATGGGCATGGGATACGAGAAAGGAAGATTGTGTACAATTTATCTATGGTGGATGTGGGGCTAATGGAAATAATTTCTACACCAAAGAAGCTTGTGTTGATACATGTATGGCGCAATCAGGTCAGTGTAACCTTTGTTCGTTATTGTTCATACTTCACGAACAAAATAAATCACAAATGTTTGTCAACGAATTGGCGCCAAAAATGTTACCCGGGATTCAGAAACATGATAATTGAAAAAAACAAACAAAACAGACGCTGATTATTAGAATTTTCAAATTAGAATTTCTTCTCTTATTGGCAGATCCAATTCATAACAAAGATGGCGTGTGTCCGGTTGTTGATAAGGACTCGATTGGATCATGTCAGCAGGAGTGTGAAAAGGATTCAGAATGTGACGGCGAAAATAAATGTTGCAGTAACGGATGTGGACGAATGTGCCAGGCTCCTGTCTTTGCCTTCAATGATAAGGCGCCATTACCTGGTTCATGTCCCAAAGTTTCTACCGATAGCATTGGCGTCTGTATGGATAGTTGTTCATGCCATTCACAGTGTAAAGAAGGACAAATGTGTTGTTTTAATGGATGTGGTCATACATGTATTGACGTAAAAGTTTCCACGCAACCACACGAAATGATGCAAGACAAAACAGGTATTACCTCTGCCACATGATCAGCTGAATTATTTTCCCGCAAAAAGTCCTGATATTCTTTAAAATACAGATGTGTTTTATTTTAAATATTTTATTAAATTTTACTTTCTTCGATATTAGAAGCAATGTGCGATGGCGAGGGGATATTGCTCAAACTGAAGAACTTGTCTATAATTATAACTGGTATTTCAGGTTTCATGGTATGGGGATGGAAGTGAATAATGAAAAAATAATCCTTTGTGATGAAAAAGTTTTTGTCAACAATGTTTTTAATGCTAGAAATACTAGTTAGACAAGAACACAATTATATTCCAGTCTGAATTATTTGCTTTTTCATTATAGTATGTGACCATAACTGGAGTTTGTTCAATGGATCGTGTTATCATTTTGTTGGATACAGCCGATCTTATCACCAAGCATTCGCGGAATGTTATCACGAACACGTGGATTCGCAACTGGCCGACCTGAAAACACTGCAACAATATGAATGGCTTTATGATTTCCTAGATGAACAACACAATTGTAAGAATTCATTTTAATACTTACTGTGTCATAAATAAATTTGCCCCGCAAAAAATCTTGCATACGAACACCTTTTTTATCTTTCGACGTTCAGCTAGTTCTAGTTTGAAAACGAAAATGGTGACAAATAATTTCAAGACCAACATTCAAAAATGTGACAAATGAAAACTTTGTTTTTGTCTATTAGTTATTCCCGATATTGGTGTGTGGATTGGTCTTCATCTTGAGGAGAATCAATGGGTATGGAGTGATGGTTCACCTTTGACCTATGCAAATAAATGGGCAACTGGTGAACCCAAAGGAAGTGGTCCCTGCATCACAATACATAAAACGTATGGAGGAATGTGTGACGTCACATGTGACCATAAAAAACAGTACATCTGCCAATACGACCCAAAAAGTAAGGTTTCACATCTTGTTTTTACATTGTCATGGCAACCATTTATAAATTTGGTAAATGGAATAATGTTTATACGTCAAAATGTTTGATAAATGTCGATTTTTTTAGTTTTATCAAAATGTTGCCACCCATATTTGTTCATACACCACCGTTATACCTTATAAGGTGATCGTTATTATCTAGTGAATCGAATGTTTCAACAGAATATCTGTAATATTTATAAATGATGTCCAAATATTGATACAAATAATGCTTAGTTTAATAGATCAAAGACGTCCTCAAATAAGCGGCGACAAACAGAACAGCGTATAATATATTATATCATAAACCTCTTCTATTAAATAATTTCTATTATTAAATATTTCTAGGAACCATGGATGATTCAACGCATGAACCGGCAGTATCTGGTGAACACCACGCTGCTTCAACAGACAATAGAATCAGTAAGTCTATATTCGAAACAAAAAAACAAACGAAAAATGTATTAAACATATTCAGGAAGCATCAGCATAGTTACCATGGAAATGCAGCTTCGATTATTCTGCTTGTTGAATACCACTGTGCGTTGTTTAGTACAACGTGTTTTCAGTTTGACCGTATGCTTTATTAATTACACATTTGTGATTTCTCAGAATTGATTATACAGTGCACCATAACGTTTTACTAACTCGCCTGTTTTTTCCCGTTTCTTCATCGCGTGATTTTTAGAGGTGGATATGTACATCCTGAGTGGTATTATATTTGCGTGTGTTTTCTCCATCATTGCCGTAGCCTATATTGTGCACATACGATGTCGTCGTCGTGTCGTCAAAACTGGAGACAAGAAAGTAAAAGTGGTTAAATATGATGGATATGAACCAATGTTGCTGTAAAGTGCCAACATGACGGTTATGGTCACGCGACATTCCTAAGCATACAATGTTAAACATGATTATCACGTGACAAATACGATATACGGTGTTATGGCTAACACCATGGATACCGTACCGAGACATGCAAAATTAACCTATGTATATAGTTTGTTATCATTTTCTAATATTCTAAAAAAAAAATATGATTTCTCATTTTTTTATTTTTATTTCTTTTGACGACGTAATCATGTTACTGTGTATTGTAACAAAAATAATTTTTCATTTACGTCACGTCTATTCAATGATAAAATTGCTTAGTCAAAGCAGTCAAGAAAACTTAATACACTACAGGATATGACGTTTTTGGCATTACAGGATATGACGTGTTTTGACATTACAGGGCCTTGTTCATCATACGTTTAAATACCATGTGAGCAATGTATTATACATACGCTGTATACGTCGCAGTGACTCACGTGACACGTCACGACGACCATCGCCCTTTAATTACGATCTTGATTGTGTTGGTGCAAACGAATGTTGGTGCTTTCCTTGACAACTGTTAATTAGTTTGAATAAATTTAGTTTTCCAGATTGTTTTGATATAATTCCTATAACATTTTGTTTTATCAAACAATTCCAAACCATGTATATATTGTGTGTTCTGATATAATCTATCCCGGTCTAGTTAGAATTATAACTTGTACAGTTCCTAAATCATTATTGTCGTTGTTGAGGATGTGCTTAAGACCACCGGAACAAACTTTATTAAAGCTACGGAGGACACAGCAAAGATGTGATTGGTTGGCAAATTCAGTTGCACAAAACTTAAAGAAATTAATTCTTGTTTTTTTTTCTATTTTGCCGTGTTAACAAGTTATGTACGCCAAGTCACGACCAGAATTCCGGAAAAATGTTGATTTTAATATCGTTTCTTAGTTTAACACCGCATAATCAGGGATGTCTTTGATAGTTATTAAAACAGGAATGATTTTGTGAGATGCGATTTGCTGTCAATAATCTTAGGGTTGTGGCCAGAGCGAGGCTGTGATTTGAATTACTATAGGTGCCAACCACCAGTCTGTTTTATCAATGTTAATAATCAACAGGTTTCTGTCAGTTATGTGTGAATAAGATGAGATAATCTCTTCAAGTTTGTTTCGCAAGACAACATTTGTTGGTTGTCTGCCACGCTACCTTAAGATTACTGGCCACTACTGATCCCGCGAACTCGAAGAGCACGAGTTTTAGTTCAGATGCGAAAATTGCAAAATGATGTCACAAAAGAAAAGTATGTTTCCAATGGCCCATGTTCGAGAACTTATTTTATTGGAAATAAAACCATTTCACGAGCAAACACGAATACACCTTTAATTCGACAGCTCATCTCTGTGGACATGTATGGTTAGTAGTATTGGGGTATATAATGTTCCATTATCGATAAACAGTACTGAGAATATATTTATTTACATTTCAGTATGACATGTATTGTTTAACCAATAAACATGGATATCTTGCAATTTAGTGTTGACCTGTTGTGAATACTAGTAATCGTTATACCTTTTGCTTCACATGTAACCCAATGAAACTTGTAATGTACTCTCACCCAAGCTTATCTTAATATAGTAATGTTAGTAGTCTTTCGTACACAATTGTTTAAATCATTGAAATGAATTAGTTTAAATATTGTTCTTTACAATATTATTCATATCATTTGTTGCGCCTTAGTGTGTTTGTAAATATCCGATAATTAGTAAATAAACAACTGGCAATCTGTTATCAAGCATATTTTTGAGTTTACAAATATATATGTATATACGGTGCTCAGTTCATTTAAGTTGTATTTATCAACATACAATATTATTTACGTGAAAGATTATTATTGTGTGTTGAAGCACAATTGTTTCTCCTAAAATCTTTTGCGGAATTAATGCTGCTGTTTACTACTCTACCCTATAACAGCAACTTGCATCTTTAATTGCTCGTCCAATAGAGTTCGTCAGATGTTATCGTCATGGACGAAGGTGTCGGGTCGTAAAGGTCGATAAAGACTGCTATTTATGCGATGTTTTGTTCTGATACTCCTGTACGAGAACTGCCCAAATACAAGGTAGAGTTTAATACGTTGAAAAATAAAAGTAGTGAGTAGCTTCGCGTTTAATGAAATATCGCTTTCGGTAGAGCTGACGGATGTTACAATTGAACCTTCTACTACATCATTAACAATGTGCCCAAATATGGTCATATGACGTCAGATTGATAGAGACCAATCAACCCCATACATCAAGTAATAACCGAACACTGTTTGACGTGACGTAGAGTGGCATATAACAGTTGGTGAACTATGTAGCACTCAGTAGTGTTTAGTAGAGGTGAAAACCAACCCTAACTCGTAAATCCGATTTCTAGAGTACTAAAGAGCAGTTCACGAACGCCACTTACAATGGACATATAGAGACAGAGAAATCAGAACTTATTGTGCTTTTTTCGATTTAATTTTAATGTAAACAATTGCATTGTATAAGCGTTGTACGTTTCATGGGACACGCATAGTACACGAAGCGAGCGCTACCGCCATACACTAAGTCACGAGGACAAGGGTCAAATACTCTAATAAGTATGGTATGTGTGATGTGTGTGTTGATAGTAAATAATTTACTCGTAAATAAACAAAGTCCAGCACGCACTATGACTAGTTCAAAATAGGATACGTCAGTTACTCGTTTCAAACTAACTTCTGTGGTGACCTTAAATATATACTCAACAACAGAGGACTATTGCCAATTATAATTCTACAAGTGACTGGAAACACGTACATATTTTGATTAGGAAGTAGGATAAAGCTGTCCAATTACGGTTAGCAGGTATGGTATTTTGAATTTATACTAGAAAAAACACGACATAAACATGTCCGCCATCTTGTTTAGGACGGACGTGCCTGCCATATTGCTATTTTTTCTGACAAAAAATAGAAATATAAAACAATATTTGAGGTATAATATGTCTTGCAGTAAAAACCAACACAAAAGACGAATTTATTAATGGATTTCTTGCTAAAAATTGATGAATATAATGGTACAGTTTTTATTGTGTTGATTTCGATGTGAAGGCCAGCTAAGATAAACCACTCGTATGTCGAGAGAAGACCTTGCATGTGGTTTCTGACACGAATTATACATGATACATACATTCCAGTTTGTACATGAATGATTGCTCAAATTTACAGTGTTTGTAGTTGCCAAGAAAAACAAGTATAAATATTAGTTAATTCATATATCTTAAACAACTAATTAAAAAGTTTGTCATTCGAATTTATAAACAAGGAATAAATGACGGGTTGACATTGACATAGTCTGTATGACACTTGCATGTCTAGAACACACTTTATGTTAACGTAAAATTACTATGTATGTCAAGTCAGTTTATAGACAGTGACGTCACAGCGCGGGATTTCATTTCTGTATTGTTTCGCACGTCCCACACGAGGTACGTTTCAAAAAATTATATTTTTACCATCATACTATTCGTATTGTACATCGATTTCCTGTAAAGCTGCCGTAACAACATGGTTACTAATCGTGATAAAAAAGTAAGGATCGGTTCCCGTGTTCGCGGTTCACTTACTCCAAATGTATATTTTACAATCAAAATGATTTCAGACTGAATAAATATTTTATTATCCCTAAATGTTAATGGAATTAAATATATAAAGGCTGGTTTTGCTGGTATTTTGTCCGCTAAAAATAAACATTGCTCAATGCAAACAATTGTTGCAGACTTTCTCTTTAGCCATCAATCTGAAACATATAGTCATGGCCTCTCATATAGGAACTTTTATGAACAAATTTCCCAAATGAAAAATTTCCAATTTGTATAAAAAAATAATAGTGGCCATACTGACCTCATCCTTTGAACTTGTATAGTATTAGTTTTGGGGAGTTACTTGATTAATTCAATGAATCAAAAAATAATCACTCGGTGGAATGCCGGAGTAGAACAACTACTCCGAAAATATTTCTTCAATCTTCACGTTCGATGTGTTTGTCGTGCGTATATTGCATATACTAAATATGACTAAAGTCTTATTACTAACTATTTCCTTTCTTAATGGTATGTAAATTTCATAACATACACCGCAATTTCTAGAAACAACGCCAAATGTTCTCTGTACATGTTAGTTTGATTCCTTCGCGGTTAGAACTTGATGTTTGGGATCAATCTCAATTATTGGATTAAATTGGATCTCTATACCAGTCGCGTCTACTGATAGAATCTTTGATTTACTGAATCAGTATTTCTTCCTTCTTTCATTAATATCTAATAATGTATATCCTATAAGTATTATACAATTCCAACACCTTCTGCTTAATTATTATTCACATCAGTTTTATTCTGCGAATTAAAAACTATACATTACTAGTATAATAATTCACGCATTTGTATATAGAATAGTTTTTTTACAACTACGAGTACTGAACAACACTGTAACCATCGATTTTTTATATCCGATTTTTATTTTCAATAAAACATTTCTTGTGTCATTCGTATCAATTCGTAACGCCCATCGCCGAAATGTGGACACTACAAGCATAGCATGTACGCTATATACAGACGTTATACATTGAACCTCTGGAAGTGAAAAAAGAGGGCGCCATCTATTTAAATACAGCTTTGTTAAACGAACTTACCAGGGGGCGTGGGCCAAATCCTGTCAAATACGCCGCCATCTTGACTGTTATGACTGCCTCTCACTGGCGAATTTATATGTCACTTCTCAAAGTGTGCATCACGTGACCAATTTCAACAATGGCAACTACTCGACCTTGAGTTTTTACATTAGGGTAATTTTTTACCATGCAATCGTATTTAAAACAATATTTCGGTGGTTATATTCAAACCAAAAAAACTTTGACGGCTCTCATTGAACAACACTGTCAGTGACAAACTGCAAATTTGAGTAAAACTAAAAATAGCTTGAATTATTCGCTACAGGGAAAACACTGAAAAGTGGAATTAACTACGGGGTTAATTATACCTCCATGAAATTACAAACCCAACCATCGAACGTTTACATAAGTCATATAGGGAACCAAATTAACAGATCAATAATGACCCCGAGTTCGAGTAAATAATGTTTCCTACACTCGTTACTATAACACATCTAACTATCTACTACTATTGTATATATTCTGGATTTGTTATGATTTGAAACTATATTCCGCCTTTCATATATCAATCACGATTATACTGCTTAGATGTATAGAAGGTAAACAAATAAAAATTATTTCTGCTAATATATATGTCAGTTTTGCATTTTATTTATTATTCAGTTGAATCCAGTGTTAATAATTCCCCAGTGTACTCCAGTATACATGTCTTACAACATCTGTTCATACTTGCATATATTATTTGTATAGATGATTGATTTCCGCGCAATTTAATAACATCCAAATATGCATGACCTGTAAGATTATACGAGTTTATTTATTAATTTGTTTATTAATTAATTTATTTATTTATTTATATTGCATTCGCAAAAATTATTCGTTTATTATATAATATAATAATTTGAATCGTGTACTATGTTAAAATGAGAATAATTAATGTAAACTGAGAACAATATTTGAGCCAAAACACAACCATGCTCAAGATACTTAGAGTTGAAAAATAATCTGTTTTAATAGATGAATGTTGCCAAAATTTATATTTGACTATGACTAATGGTAATTCCTTTGGACAATTTAAGATATTTAAAAACAGTTATTTGTATCCAATTGAATGATCACGTGAACATCTGAATCCTCTCCAAAAGTGTGACACCAGTTTAACTCCATTTTTTATGAGTTCAATAACCGCGAATGACCTTAATATGACGTCACTCACCCTTACTTTCGATATGCGTTATTTGTTAATGGCAATACCAGATAACAATAAGCTGTTCCAACACCACAGTTGCTATGTAAGCACCGTTGATAAAAAGTGATAATCGTTCTCATGTTAAGTACATGTGTAAAGTACATTTTTTACACGAAATTCAAACGCGTCATTTACATTGCTGGATACAGTAATATACTGTAAAATAATTTATTTTCGCTCGGAATTTAGTTTCGCTGAGGGATGATTCAGTGAAAATAAACGCCATCGAGTATACATTTGTTTCCCTATATTTTACATTCAACTCTTCTAAAATCAGGGAAAATAAATTCCACACAAAACACCCAAAAAGCTTTTTCAGCTAAAATTAAATGCAGCTAAAATTTATAATAGTCAATAATAACTATTTTACAGATGCTGAATACCCGTTGAAAAGAAGAAAATATTAACTGACACGATGTTCCGGGACATACCAGTATTTGTTGTAATGGTGCTATTGACCACTCTGGTCCAAATGTCGACTGCTAGACACAAAAGAGGTAGGTAAATATGATAACGAGTTTGCGCCACAGAAATGATAGCATAAATATACATACATTGGAATCACCCACACATGTTAATGTCCCATCATTGATCAAATTAAAGGAGTTCACAAGTGCGGCAACATTTTGAACCGTGTGGTATTGTTTGCACATTGTAATGTATTTGTGTGGTTGCAGGTCATTTTCTAGTCAAAACCGCAATTTATTTGTTGTGTTAGCAAGACTAAATGGTGTAATTTTGGTTACTATTATCTTGCCCCCCCCTCCCACTTTGACAATCGCTGATTGGCCTCTGGGTTGAATGATGGTTCCTTGCACCCCGGGAAATTGCTGTGTGCAAGCAATGAGGTTATCGTACGCAAGGCATTTTCCACGCAAAATTGCTCCAAATGTAGTCGAATTGTGTTGGTACATGGTTTAAAGTCACTTCAAATAATCGTTTGGCTATGAAAGTTTGGTGTTTTTAGGAATTGTTGTATGAAAAACACGTTTCACAACTTGTCAATTTGTGTAGTATAGGGCCAGATTCAATGTGGAAGCCCTCACAATAGTAAAAATCGGTAAATTAATCGCACTGTTTCGTTTACCACACACGTAGCCAATGTGCCAAGTGCCAATGACCAGTCCATATACGTGTTTTACTGTCATCGCCATATTGTTTCGAACACAAATAGGAACATAGACAGCTATGCTATGCGCGCCTGGAAATCGTTACACAATTAATAAGATTAAGTTGAATGAAACTAACCAGTTCTAACCATGTAACGATCTCGAGACGCCCACAGAAAACCAGTCAGCAACTTAGTTGTCACTGTTGCTGTTTTGGTGTTAGAAGAACATCGCAGGTGACAATAGTTGTAAATTTTAATTGTTGATTATTTATTTTTAAATATTAAACAATTTTAAAAGAAGATATATACATAATTCATAAAAATATCCTCGGACATATCGATCTTAATTACTCCATTGTGATGTTTGTTATTTTAGACAATAATCCAGATTTACTGAAATTGGGTCAGTGTCCGACATTTGACGAAGGCACGAAAGGTGTATGCAGAGAGCTGTGTACAATTTTAGATGATACGACCTGCCCCGGTGATCAGAAATGCTGTGACAATGGGTGTGGCCACACATGTCATGAACCTATTAGCTCACAGCACGTCGTGAAACAAGGGGACTGTCCACCTGTGGCGGCAGAGGGGGCAATTTGCACCAAAGAATGCGACGATGATGGCGAATGCCCGGGAAGAGACAAGTGCTGTAACAACGGCTGCGGCAACCAATGTATGTTTCCGCTCAACATCCGACCGAAAGAAGGAAGATGCCCGGTGTTCAACAAAGGAGGGAGATGCGGTGTCGAGAATTGTACGCACGACTACGATTGCCAGGGTAAAAAGAAATGTTGCAACAATGGTTGTGGACAGGTCTGCGCTGACCCTGCGTTAGATGTGGATGACTTAGATGGCCGTCGACCGAATGATTGTCCATTGATACATGTCAACGAGGCAATACTTGGCACATGCTTTGATCTATGTAAGCATGATGATCACTGTCAAGTAGGACAACGTTGTTGTAGTAACGGATGTGGTCTAGTTTGCGTTGATGTGCTTTCAGGTATGTACAAGTGGCTTAAAGCTAGAGGGTCGTCACCTGCGCACGCGCGGGAATTGAGTCCAAAGCGCAAAGGCTCATGGGTAGACGCTTGTTTGTAAACAATGACACGCTTATGGCCATCTGACGCATGCGCAGGTGACGACACCCCCGCTTTAACCTCTCAAGATGGTTACTAATTTGACATTTTGACCAGGATCCACAGTGAGTTGACATCTTGTATCGAAATCCCTGAGGTTTGCTTGACAAAACTGGATTTCAATAGATGGCGCCCTCTGGAGACCTAGACACAACCTTCGGTCATCTTTTTTTCACTATCAATTCGTATAATGTATATTGATATTTAACACTAATGTTTTATTAAAAATAACAAATTTGAGAAAAAAATCGACAGTTTCAGCTATTGCTGCTTTACGAAAACATATATTATTTAAAGTTATTTTCTTGATATGACATGTTCACGATATTGGATTATGATTATATATATATTAAAAAGGTTGCTTAAAATAAGAAGCACACTGCATAGTACTTATTCCATGAAAAAGACTAATATACATGTGCATTGGTTGTTATTGAATTTATTCGAAAACAATCGGTACACATTGTTTCATCAAAAGATACTTCATTGTGTTCTTCAAGAATGCTTCAAGTTAATGATCATGATAATCATCATCAAATATATTCTTCAGCATCAAACAATTATTAAATTGAAATGTTCATGTCCATATTTTATTGGTAATCCCAAATAAATTTGCATATATCGTTACTCTAGTAACCATAGTTCAATGACGTACATTATACTAATCAATAATTGATTCATTGCAGTATCAAACGATGTCAATCAAACAACAGGACTCTGCAACGCTGGATGGATACAACACGACAGGTCATGTTACATGCTTGAAGTCTTCAAACATGAATATTCATTAGCTGCATCCGAGTGTGTAATACGTCATCCGTTCGGCCATCTTGCTGATTTCCAAGACGAGGATGAATTCCATTGGGCAAATAATGTTATCAGAAACGACAAAGGTTGTAAGTTAACTATTCAATGAGTATATAACTAATTCTATTACATTCAATAGCTATACCCAAGACTAGAATTTGGCCATTTTTCTGATGGGATGGGTTGGCTAGATTCTGGAAAATTGACTTTCAGAGAAAAAATATATCACAAACAAAAATGCAAAATAATTAATAAGTTAAATACTATGATTATCAAATCTAATAATTATTTGATATTCATCCCTAGTTGATGAATCGGCGAGTATCTGGGTCGGCTTACATCAAAATGACCATGGTGACTGGATGTGGTCTGATGGAACCCTTTTAGACTATGACCTCTGGATTTATGGTGAACCAAATTTCGACAGTGTGTGTGGAGCAACAAAACAAAATGGTCTGCTTGATGACCTCTGTATAAACAACAATCGGTTCATGTGCGAGTATGAATTAGGTAAGAATCTATATACTGTGATTTTATTTCATTTTATTTGATGGACTGGAAATATGTTTGTTTTTTCATAAAAGGCGCTCAATACATTAGATATATAATTAATTTTGTTCACTGTTTTATTTCAGATAACCCACCATCAATTGTACCAGGTATGCACGCATACGATCAATATTATTATTTTAGACAACTACAGATATGCCTAGGAACCATTGTAAACATTGATACTTTAGACAACTATAGATATGCATGGGAATCATTGAAGATAGTTACTTTAGACAACCATAGATATGCCTAGGTTCCATTGAAGATTGATATTTTAGACAACTATAGATAGGCCTGAGAACGATTGAAGATAGTTACTTTCGACAATTATAGATATGCCTGGGAACTGTTGAAGATAGTTACTTTAGACAACTATGGATAGGCCTGGACACCATTTAAGATAGTTACTTTCGACAACTACAAATAGGCATGGGAATCATTGAAGATAGTTACTTTAGACAACTATAGATAGGCCTGGGTACCATTTAAGATAGTTACTTTAGACAATTATAGATATGCCTGGGAACTGTTAAAGATGGTTAATTTAGACATCTACAGATAGGTCTGGGAACCACTGAAGATAGGTACTTTAGACAACTATAAATAGGACTGGAAACCACTGAAGGTAGGTACTTTAGAAATCCATGGATAGGCTTGGGAACTATTGAACATATCACTTTAAACAGCTAAAGATAGGCCTAAGAACCATTTGAGATACTTACTTTAGACTATAGATATGGCGGGAACCATTGAAGATATTTACTCCAGACAACCACTGATAGGACTGGAAACCATTGAAAATAGTTACTTTAGACAACTATAGATATGCCTGGGAACCATTGAAGATAGTTACTTTAGACTATAGATATTCTTGGGAACATTTAAGATAGTTATTTTAGACAACTACAGATAGGCCTGTGAATCATTGAAGATAGTTAGTTTAAACAACTATAAATAGACCTGCGAACCACTGAAAATAGGTACTTTAGAAATCTATGGATAGGCTTGGAACCGTTGAAGATATCACTTTAAACAACTACAGATAGGCCTAAGAACCATTTACCATAGTTACTTTAGACTATAGATATGGTGGGAACCATTTACGAAAGTTACTCCTGACAACTACTGATAGGACTGGAAACCATGGAAGATAGTTACTTTAAACAACTATAGATATGCCTGGGAACCGTTGAAGATTGTTACTTTAGACAATTATAGATAGGCCTGGGTACCATTTAAGATAGTTACTTTTGACAACTACAAATAGGCCTGGGAATCATTGAAGATAGATAATTTAATTGATTATAGATAGGTCTTTGAACCATTAAGGATTAAGATACTAATTTTAGGAATTCTACTTATAAAGGTCCGTTGACTGAAACATCTAGTTAATTGAAAGGGAGTGGTCGTCACACTGCGCATGTGCAACATTTGTGTTGATAAACATAGATGCACACATATTTTAACTTGGGTGCAACATGTATTAATTACCATTGTTGACTCCTTTAAAGCTTGGATATGGTTGACGTTTGCATTCGTCTGTACAACAGTCAAAGTAGCCATCTTTATTTATATGAGACCCATATCTCACGCATTGGTTGTGCGAAGACCACACTCCTTAATGTGGACAATCATTACCAAATATTGCAACTAATTCACAATCTTTTATGTTTTTATTTCATAGTTTTAAGAGAGGTTGTTGACAATTCTGTGCAGAACACTGTGGTGTTATTACATCAACTTGATGAAGGTAAACACACTATTATTTATACTTGTTTTCTCCCCCCAAGGTCTGCTTGACAAAACAGGTTTTCTGGAGACTTGGACACAAACTAGTGACCACCTTTTTTCACTTGCAAGCGATTTAATTTACAATGTATAGCTTATATGAAAAGCTTTCAGTGTCCACATTTCATTACAAATTTACAGTAGTGCAGGACACTATCAGAGAAAAACAATCAGTAGTTTCAGATATTGCTGCTTTAAAGCATAGTATATAACTCTCACCAAGATATTATCCATATTTTGCATCTGCATTTTGACAATTCTTTAGAAATAGTGAGAAAAAAAATCACACAAATTTGTAATGCCATACAACTAATTGTACCACCAAACTATCTGGCGCTAAAGGAATCTCACGTCATTGTCAGAGAACGACCATTCATTTTGCAAATGTTCAATATTTTTGTTGTAAACAAACAAACAAATATAGCCCTATGCTGTCTATGCTATACTCGTCTGTTATCAGATGATATTCAAAATAAAGAAATAGTTGCTGACATTTTAAATTTTGTCACCTTCACAAAATAAAGCTATACAATTTATTTTTTTCCATAGTTTGAAAAAAAAGTAGATCAAAACTTTAGGCAATTGAAATTATGTTCATTTGATCCAATATTTAAGAGGTAATCTGTGCAAATATAATGCTCCCAGAGAGCCCCACAATAGTAGGATAATGCAATTTATATTTTTTTTTATCAATTTTCATTCTCAAATTATCAGTATTGTGTAATTATACGTTTGTTTTATTTCAGCTGTTATAGTTGTTATTGTTTTAGCAGTAATGGTTGCTTTGGGGGCGATAATAGGCTCTGTGATCTATTTTATCAAAGCCAAACCAAGTGTCAATCCAATCGTGCGAAGACGAAGGGGATACGACGACCATGAAAAGATGATGAATGATGTGGCACCTGACGTGTTTGCATTATAAATCATAGTTCACAGCCTTATGTAAATTTAATTTATATTTCTGTCTTTCTACTTCTCACTACATCCCACTGAATCACTACATGTCGGTGAATCACTTCTTCTCGCTGAATCACTACATTTCACTGAATAACTTGGCATGTTGCCATGGAAAATCATGTAGTTAGTTTAAGAAAGTATAGAAATAGTTGAAAACGACATAAAAATCATGGCATTTAAGAGCATTTAGTTTTTTCTGTAGAGCCACATCAACACAAAACAAATTTCGTTTTGAAGTTCAATTTTTTTGTCAGTCATCTTGTAAATGTTATCCCTTTATTGTACAAGCTGTGTGAGTGGTTCCCTAAAACTTATTGTATTTGCTTGCAAGCTACTGAACTACTGCAAGTACAGATTTCATCACAGATTTCTTATAATCAGAATATGACACAAATTTTAATTGTGATCAACTCAAATACATGTGTTTGTTTCTCATTATTTTTTTGACAAATATTATCAAATGAATGAGTTGGTGATCTATAAAAAAGTAATTTAACCTGCATATAAAGACCACCTGTCTATAAAGACCACTTCGCTATACACAGGTTTGGCTATAGTCATTTCCGGTTTACAAGTACACTTATTAGGTTAATTTTTTAACAAAAATGAAATCACTCGTAATATAATGTTATCTTTTTCCACCAATTCAGTCCTAGTTTTGTATTAGATGTAATATCATGGTAATTGAAGATAATAAATATCTTGTATAAAAAGACAAGGAATTGATAAATGTTTTTATCACACGACTGCAGTGCATATCATTCACAGTAGTAACATTCAGTGTAAAATCCCCCTCAATGATATTTTACATTATTAAACATGGTGATATGCATGTTACATGTCATCAGTCTACTTGTGCTTGAGTAGTATATGAATGAATTATTTAATATAGCGATGTGAGAAATTCAGGATAATAATTTCTTGCCCGGACAATACCTCGTATCAAAACAAGCTTAGAAAGATCTCCTGTACGCTGAGGGAATATATGATTTTCTGTTCACTGTGACATCTCACATTATGCATGAAACGAACAGAACAAACATCTACTGCAAAAATGTAATTAATTTTTCATACTTTGCATTGAGATAGACTTTTTTTACATTTACCATCTTCAAATGTGTTTAGCACATTAATATGCATGGATATACTCATGAAATGCTTTTGTGTGTTTGTTGAATTTTGCACGACGTTTTGATGTTGTTACAATGCAAGCTTTGTTTGTCCTGAGTTTACACTTGATTTCATGCATATAACCCTGTATCTCGAAGTGAAACCAAAATGATCTATTCAATACTGTAAAATACTTTATTTTTAATAAATAGTTTATGTCACTGATTTTTGGTGAATTGAATATATAGGGATAAAAGTATTTTCGTCGGATTTTATTCTCACTGAACCCCCCTCTTGTGTTAAAATAAAATATTTTACAGTACAACTGTTTGGGGCGCTAAAAATAAAAAAAATTATGATAGCACTTGTACTAAGGTTAGGCTGGTCATATTCAGTATTCATATTACATCTTGCCCATTATTTGTAAAATAAAATAATCTGATTTCATTAAATTTTGTAAATTTTTTTTTGTGGAAACAAAAATGAAATATGTGATTATAATAATGCAGAGGTTGCAGACCCACTGTCAAATCTGAGAATTATTTTAATATTTTGTTTTAATGGTGAAGAATAAATACGTATTGATTTCTTCAATTATTGAAATCAATCTGAGGTAGGCTAACAATTCTTGTCACTATAATAACCAAAATAAATTGGGCCTAATCTCATTATCCTGAACATATGCAAATAGTGTGTTTGATTGGTGTCATATTATGGATGGCACTAACATCACCGGAATTCCAGGTGCCCACATAGCTGAGGTGAAGCTTTATTATGCCTTAAGCTTGTTATGCTAATGAGTAGGTCTTTGTTTAGCTATTACAATATAGTGCTGTCAGGGAGCAACAAATCAGGTTGTGCTGCTCAGTGGGTCAGCGGAAATTCTACACCATAGCCTGTGCCCGTTGAGCCGGTGTTCTGCTATTCTAGTAGAAGTTCAGTACTTCCAAAAACCATTATTGTGCCATTTTGACACGGCTAGTGTGGCTGAGTGATGGGTGTGGTCGGCGCGGTGATGTGGTGTTGCTGGAGATAGCTGTAGGCAGGGTTCAGTAGCCAGCCTCTAGACCTTCCATTGCACGAGCATCGCCAGGTTTGTCTTGTGCTCTGCCATATAGTGCTGTGGCGGAGGTGTAATATTGCTGGTAGTTAAATTGTGGTATGCAAACCACGCTGCACCAAAGTATTGAGGCAGAAACGCGAGGGAAGGAAGGGGCTGCATTGAAAGATTACATTAGAGAAGAGCAGGCGAAAGAGAGGGATATTAGGGCTAGTGGAAGAGAGGAACATAGGCGACGGGAGGTGCATGAAAAATAACTAATGCAAATGCAGATCAATTTGCAAAGGCATGGACGCCTACCTTCAAAGTTTTGTACGCTATGCCACTGCCCAGAAGTGGGAACGATCTGATTGGGCTGTGAATCTCAGTGCTTTGTTACAAGCTATCTCAATATACTCCCATGCCAGCTGCAACAGCTAATGACTATGATGCATTGAAACCAGAACTATTGAGGGCATACCAGCTGAGTGACGAGTCGAAGCCAGAGTATGATGAAAGCGCTCAGCAGTTTATGGACTGTATTGGTGATTACGAACCAATGACCAATGAAAGGTTTGCAGACCTACTGCTCTGAGAACAATTTGTTTGTGGGTTTTTCAAATACCTAGCTTTGTTTAAAGAGCGTTGGCCGAGGGACACCAAAGAAATGGTTTCTGCAGCTGCAAAATATTTGGATGCACGAGGAAAGTGGGGACTGCCAGGGAAGGCTAAACCTAACCAACGGTGGCAGCAGCAAACGATGAACATAAAGTCTGGTAACCCATCAAGCCAATGTCGACTAGCCAAACCTTTGTATGCTTTGTATTTGGCAGAGTGGGTCATGTGGCCAAATATTGTAGAAGGAGACCCAAGATCCACTGCAAACTGAAGATAGGTATGTATTCACTGTGGCATTAGTGATACAATGATATAGGTAATGCACGTATGGGGGTGACAGTGGAGCCAGATGAAACTTGTGCCACACAGTGTATCCTATTACCTCGTGGTCGGACTCTGAATGATGAGTGCTGCATGCAGCGCACACGATGTGAAATGAATGCCAATAACGGATGGGAAACTGGTTGGTGTTTTGAGGAATATTGGTTATTGTAGTGTGGTGGTCCGAATAAGTCTAGTTCTAATAGACAGCTGTCTGGTGAATACATGACGTGTCCTGATAGATGGAATCATTCAAAAGTCGCCGGTGGCTACAATAAAGGTAAATATTTCTTATTTTATTGGCGATGTAACTGCATTGTGCATGTCGAATCCTGTGTACAACCTAATACTAGGAAATATTGAAGGTGTATCTGATGCGTTCCACGCTGATACATCAAGGAAAGAACGTGGTCAAGAACCAGAGTTGGCAAATGCTGTGGAGACCAGAGCTCAGAAACTATCCAATCTTAAGCCAACCAGAGAACTGAAAGTGCCAAAGCTGTTGGTGATGTGAAGTCAGCAGAAAAACTTCAACAAGTTCAGGGAGAAGACTTGCAGAAAAACAAACCATGAAGTAAAAATGAAGAAAAATAGTGGCAGGTCAAATTCGTCATGAAAGATATGTGACAACCACAACCATTTAGACGACTCGCTGGACAATGCTCTGCCATTATGCAAAGATTAAAGAAACTGTTTCCGACCATCAGTGTTAGTTGCATCCATTGACTGTTATGTACGTTTGTCTCGTAGTTTTATGCATGCATGTTTCTTAGATAGACAATAATCTACATTTCCTTGCAATAATACAACGTAATCCACTTCCTTACTGGTGTGAAACAAATATATTACTAAATTATTGCTCTAGTGTAATATTTCTGTGTAATAATAGGTGTATCCCACTGCCCCATTGTAACGGGTCGGGTATTTCCTGTCCACCCCTTACCCGTGTAGAATAAAGTGAATTATTTGAACCATACTTGTGTAGCGTGTACTTGTTGCTTATTTCATAAATCCATTACACAACTGCCTTACGTTTCAAGATATCAATGAACCAACTACACAGGGGATGTTTATGGATGGATGGATGTTTATTTTGTACAATTTCACCCTGTGACAATTAGACAATTATCATTTCCACCGTATTCTAGTCGGTCTTTGCAATACCCAAATGCCACTATATACCAATACGTTGAATGATATTAAGTCAATGGGGCGTGGTATTACTACACCGTGCAAAGCCATGCAAAGCAATTGTAAAGTGATTGCAAAGTTGGTAGATGTATTTGTATTTTCGACCTAAGTTGTTGGCATATCAAACCCCGCTGTATCCCGTATATCAATCATTTATAGTAGAAAACCGTGAAAATATAGTAATTTTTAAAGTTCAAGTGGAGTTTCAAATCCCCACCAACAATCAAACGTAGGTGGAGGTGCTTGTATATTTGACCTAAGTCGAATTTTGAAAACATTAAATAATGTATTAAAATGCAATAAATATATATGCAGATTATCTCAACAGCTAACTGAAAAATGATAGCCAAAGTGCTTACAAAGTTGTTCAAAGCGATTGCAAAGTTGATAGATTAATTTGGGAATGTGACCTATGATATTATATTGACGGGACCCGTAGTTAAAAGTTCAAGAATGTGAATAAATATTCCGAAAATTGCCGTTATATTATTGTACTGTCTTTCGAGGCATGTAGGGGGTCAAATTTCATAAAGATGTGAAATGGCCGCCAGTTCGTGTAAACTTCAAATTAGTCGGGCAGTATCGTTGTTAAGTGATTGATAGATCTTTCAAGTTAAGCTCAATCTGGCGTGGTTAGTACTTGCATGGGAGACTCCTTGACAAAACCAGCTGGTAGATTTTTTTGTTTCATCACATACAGGGAAAAGATATGAGCTACCGTTCCTGCATTATTTCTTACTGTTCTATCAATG